GCCGCAGGACGCCGAAACCGCGGGGGCGCTCATGACCTTCTTCCTGGCCCTGGGTCTGTCCCTGGGGGCCGCCCTGTCCTTCCCCCTCCGCTTCCTGGTGTAGGAGGGGGGGGGTAGTGGCCCCCCCACATGCGCGCCTGCTGAGGATGGCACGACCAGACAGAGCGAGGAGAAGGTAGCAGGATCTGAACAGGGGGGCCCTCTCGCCCTGCCACGGACCCCACAGAGACGAACCCCTGGCCTGGCCTGGCAGCCCGAGTTTCCTTCTGTTCACAAAGACACCCCTGTTGTTGTTGTTGTTGTTTTTTTATTATCTTAGATGAGAGGGGGCACTGCCCATAGCAGGCCTTCCTTTGTCATTTATTTATGATTTTTAATGCCTTTTATGAGTTTTATTGTGTTCGCTATAGAAGGGCACTCTTTCTCCTTTGTTTCGACATCGTCTGCGAGAGCAGGAGGCCAGGTGTTGAGGTTCGTGGTCCGATTCTCCTAGGGGCTGGGCCCGTCTCTTGTTCCCGTCCCGTACGAGACTCCTGCTGCTGCTCTTGCCTAGTTTTGACCTTTGACTTCTGCGCGGCCAGATCGCTAGGATTTTTTTTTATAGCTGTCGCTCCCGGCCTGCTTCCTTCGAGCCCGGGTCCAGGCGGCGCTCGCCAGGCCGGAGTCACGAGCGAGTGAGCAGCGAGGCTCTTGGGAGGGGCCGACCGCGCTATCCCAGCAGGCCCCCGGGCTGGACGCCGGCCTAGCCTGCCCCTGGACACCTGTTGCGAGGTCTTTGGGGGTCCAGTACCTCCCCTGTGCCAAGAGCGCAGCTGCAGGAGAATCTCTCTTTAGTGTTTTTGTCGGTCAGCGGCGGGCTTCGCTGGTGGGGTCCCCCCCCTGTTACTGGTCTCCCCAAAGCTTGGATCTTCTCGGTTCTTTTTTTTTAGTTTTTTTTAGTTGTTTTTAAAACCCAGCTCAGGAGGGGCAGTCGTGTGTTTTCTCGCTCAGGGGACTCGGCGTCCGGATTTAAGGGAATTTAGTTGTGGGGATGGGAAAGGCAGCTAAGGTATAAGGTCAGGAAACAGATCAAGGTCTCTAAAGGAAGAGGCTACAGCAATCTGGAGGAGAAACCAAGACTTTTTTTTTTTTAACCCGTTAATTTATTAAGTGTCGATACGGGTGCAGTACAAGAGAACTTTATCGGTGGAGAGGGCGAAAAAGGGAAACTCCCTGGCCAGTGAAAATGTCTTCCCCCCCAGTTCATGGCTTCGGGAGGATCAGGGCAGAGTTTCTGGAAATCTGTGATTTAGGTCAGATTTGTTTTTGTTTTTTTAAACCCAGGCTGACTTTATGTGCAGTTGTTTGATTTTTTTTTAAGTGGCTGATGAGAGCTGCCGACTCATTAAATCCGCCCCCTCCCTCACTTGCTCTTTCACGCTTGTGTGACTCGGTGTCCCTCTCTTTTTTTTGAAGTTCGGAGCGGCACCTTACGCCCCGCTGCGGTTTCGGGGGGGCGCTAGTCCATCACAGAGCACGCGCACAGACCCACTCGTTCAGGGCCAGTGTTCCCAGATCCCAGTCAACCTCCCAGCCTGACTTGGACTGCGGGAGGAAACCCACGTGAACGAGGGGGGGAACATGCAAACTCCACCCAGACAGCACACCGGGTCTGGACTTGAACCCAGGGCCCCAGCACTGACCTGCGCGCCAGGGTGGGGCCCGGATCCACGACCTGTGCTTTTTGATACTTCTTAATAAGACGTAGGGCCCCCCTCCTCCCCCGGTTTGATTCAGGTCCTGAGGCGCCAGTCTGGGTGGAGTTTGCATGCTGTCCCTGCCTGTCCCGGAGGCTCTGGAGGACCTTGCCGTCTCCGTCCTGGGGTAGCGCACTCCTGTGCACCTGGGATGGGCTCTGCGCCCCTTTCCCAGGGATAACCAGCTTTCCGATGATGGATGGAAAATAGTTGAGCCCAAGGAACATTTTTGGATAGTGCCTGCTACAGCACCCTAACAACGGCCTTGGAACCAGCAGTTTTTTTTTCCCCTAATCCTCCATTAGTTTGTGGATCTTGGGGGGGGGGGGGGGGGTAGATTCGGTCACTCGCGCACGCCCGTGTTTTCGTTGACTGGATGGACCCCCCGCTCTCGGAAACGAAGGCCCGGATCCCGTTTTGAATCGGTCCCGGTGCGACACTAAAGGATATACAGCTCTAGCCAGTACTGGGCACAGAGAGCTGTGGACAGCCCCAGTAAGGTCAAACTGGACTCATCAACCTCTTCTGCATCTGCTGCTGTGGACAATTGGAGAGAGACCCCGAAAACGCGCTGGGTTCTGGCTTAGCCGCCGTGGATCAGGACGGTTGGGGTATCTCGGTTCTGGCGTCTCGAAAGAGTTGGGGGTTTCTTCAGTGAACTTTATTGAAAAGGGACTGGAGTTGGAGCGATCGGGATTTGAGTTAAATGCTCGGGCTCGTGCCGAAGCATTTGAAATCCCAAGCTCCCAGCGGGGCTCTCTGAAGCGGGGAAGCCCGATCGGAACTGCGAGAAGATGTACATTCTGCTGGGAAAGCAGGCCGTGTTCCTTGGATTTGAATGTGTCAGTGGACTGTTGATGTTACTGTGTTAAAAAAAGCTGGTAAAGTTATCTTGGTCCACGAAAGGTCTCCGCTCCAGTATTTTGTTTCGACTCCATCTTAGATGTAACTATGCAGTTTGTCTTCAAACTCTCTAGTGGGGGGGTAGCTGCCCTGAAATTGTGGGGTGGGGGAGGTTGCCATTGTCTGATACGTGACTCAATGTGTTACGTTTTCCAAGTTTATTCAACACTGTCGCTCTCCAGAGCGAGGAAGACGCTCCCCTAAGCAGAGAGAGAGACTCCAGCTGTGGGTCCTGAAGGGCCCGATCCAGCCGGGTTTGTAGGACGATGCGTTGCTGAAGCCTACAGCCCCTACGATTAAGCCCGTTTATTCAACTTGGTCATTTAGAGATCATGCTGGACAGAATTCCTCATCCCCTTCGGTCTGTAAAGGTTCATGCTTGTTTTAGGGCGGCCTTTTACACAGCATTGACTGGACTGGGGCTCCTCAGGACCAAGGCTGGGGGACCCCTGATTCAGGGTGACCTGTAAGGGTAACTGGACTGGGTCTCCCCAAGACCAGGGCTGGGGGACCCCTGATTCAGGGTGACCTGTAAAACTGACTGGACTGGGGCTCCCCAAGACCAGACCAGGAGACCCCTGATTCAGGGTGACCTGTAAGACTGACTGGACTGGGTCTCCCCAGGAGCAGGGCTGGGGGACCCCTGATTCAGGGGGACCTGTAAGACACTGGACTGGGGCTCCCCAGCTGGGGAAACGCAGGGATACCGGAGAGCCCCAGAGAGGTAGCGCTGTTTGGGCGATGCCCTTCTCAGGCTGGTGGGAAGATGGGGGGGCCATTTCTAAGCAATAAGGGAAAACGTACCGAGAGCAACAGAAAGGGAGCCTGTTGGTCTGCAGTGATTCTGTGTCCAGGTGCGTTTGATGCCCATGACGCACGTTTTGTCCGCGGGCCTGTGCGACTGGGACTGCTGTTGCCTTTGGTTTCGAGGACTGTGCTGGAGAGGGAGAATTTGCGGTAGTTCCTCATCATGTTCACTGTCTGCTACAATAAAGTGTTTTTCTGAACTGATGTGTCTTTTTTTAACAGTGTTGGCAGTGTTTTGTACAAGTCTGGGGGGGGGGGGCAGCCAGGAATCATTAAGCCCTTGGTAAAGGGCACCCTGACTCGGGCAATATTGGGGGCTCCCCCTCCAAATAATAGATATCACATTGTCATTACCATTAAAACCACCTTGGAGTTTTTGTCCGTCCATCCATCCCATTTTCTAGCTGCTCTATCCAGGAGAGAGTCGTAGGGGGGCCACAGCCTATCCCAGCATGCAATGGGTGCAAGGTGGGGTACACCCTGGGCAGGCCACCAGTCCATCACAGGACACCCGCGGGCACCCCAGAACGATTTGCCCAGACGCTGCCAGCATGTCTTCGGACTGGGGCAGGAAAGCAGCTCACCCAGAGGAAGCAGGGAGAACGTGCAAACTCCACCCAGACAGCACCCCAGAGCCAGAATTAAACCCAAGCCCCCCCTACTGCTACCAAAAACTGAAAATAAGTTCTTGGATGGAGAATGGTGAGATTATCCAGATCATGTCCTGTAAGTGTGTGCAGCCTTTCATTCCTGCTGGGCTTTTAACATGCTAAACCTGCTCGTTATTAGATCATCTGGCCCAACATCCCAGCAGCAGCTGCGCCTGCAAACCTGGGACAGGCGTTTCAGGGCCCCAGTGCACCCGCAGTGGCAGTCCAGAATGAAAATGAGCTGAAATTTCAATCGCTTCTTGACTTGTACCATGCAAGCCCTCTACTCCTCTCCAGCAGCAACTTTAGTTTTTCCCAGGTGTCTCCCCTCAAGGTACTGGCCAGGTTCAATTAAATCAGAAGAGGGAGATTTTTTTTGTCCAAGGCGATCTCATACCTACACAAAAGGTATATTGACAAAGGGAAAATAGCAGCTACATTTTAGATTATTAAATGTGTTTCACCACCTGTGTCTGAATTATTACTCTTCACCACAGCTGTGGCAGAGTAAAAGAAACCACTTGCCTCGAACTAAACCATCCCCTTGGATATAATTCTTGATAAAATCTTTACAAGGTGGGGATTAATTAATTTACTTATCAAGTTATCTGCTTGGCTTATTACTGATTTTCTCTACTTTCTTCACCCCTTCGCTGTAACAGTATTTAAGAACTGAGGCATTGGGAAAAATAATGTCAGTGTCAGAGATTGGAATCGAAGATGAGCTTCTAGTGCAGGTTTAAGTGACATCGGGCCCTGCCAGCTGTGGTCCTTGAACACCAGGAAGGTCTTTTGCAGGAGTTGTGCGATGACAACTCCTGTGTGGAAAAAAAACTCTGATCTAATAATAATAATAATAATTGCTTACACTTTTATAGCGCTTTTCTGGACACTCCACTCAAAGCGCTTTACAGGTAAATCGGCTATGAGCTTCATTAAACAGGGAAAAGGCCTGTAAACCGACCGGAGCCAACACAACTCCCAGCCTAGTGCCGAAGAACAGCGAACACCTGCGTGACCCTACAGCCACGCTCCAGAGCCTTAACTCTCCAGTTATTTATTGATAAGCCGCCGATCAGAACTCACGTCGGAGTGCGTGCAAGAACGGAGCTGGAAACACAGGAAGGGGGAACGGAACGGGAGGGGGGAAGAGACTGGGGTAAAAGAGAAGAGAGGACAAGTCGCTGAATTTAAATACTTTTTATAAACAGGCGTGGTTACAGAGGGAAGGGGTGAGGGTGGGGCAGCAGTGCAGGAAATCAACGAGGCGTGGGCACCTAACAGGAGACAGGCTTTTTTTTTCCTTTAAAAAAAAAAAGAAGCAAGTTGTCGTTTCGGTTTTTAAATTCGTGTTGGTTTGTCGTCGGCGCTTGTGGTTATTTTTTTCGGATGCGTCTTCTTCTCGCCTGGGGCGGGCGGTGGTGGCCGCTGAGGGTCCTGTCCTCTCTCTCTCTCTCTCTCTCTCTCGCCGTGCGCATGCGCTTCACCGCTTCTTCGGGGGGGTCGCTGTGCGCGGGGGGGTGACCGGCCGGCCCGAGTTCATGCCCCCGTACTGGTATTTGGCTTTCTTCTCAGACGGCTTCAGGATCTGGGGGGGGGGGGACGAGAGAGAGCGCGTTTCTAAGGCGTCTTTCATTTTGCACCCACCCGGCGAGAAACCACCGCAGCCCTGCGGGAGGCGCTGTTGCGCCGTGAGCAGGCAGAGGACTCTGGGGTCCCCCCGGCTCTCAGCAGCGGCGGGGGAGCAGTACTTAACAGACCCTGCTGTCAGTGTTGTGCGAACACCAGACTCGCACTTTGAAAAGAAGCACCTTTTTGGGCCTCTATAGCACTTTGGCCGACGTGCATTTTCGCAAAGCCAAAGCAGCTGCGAAAATGCCCGCGTTGCTTGTTAAAAACGAGCCTTGCTCGTCTTCTCGAAAGCCTCCTGTCCGCTGATTCAGAGGAGAGCGTGTCCTGCACACTGCTGGACTCTCCTCAGCAACGACTCCACTTTACAGAAACGCCCAGTAGAAATACTGCTCCCCTCTCCCAGACGGTTTCACTGACAAATACTCCTCACTGGTTAACTCTGCCTGCGGATCACGCTGGAACATTTCTGCAGTGAAATGCCTGCTGCACAACCTGTACTTATCTCAGTACATTAGTCAGCACAGGGACTAGTGAGCAGGAAGGGC